ATATATACATGTATATGTGTGTGGCAGAGAGTGTGTGAAAGAAAGTATGCGTGTATACGGGTGTGTGTGTGTGTGTGAATGAGTGCATGCATGTGTGTGTGTGTGTGTGTGTGTGTCTGTGTGTGTGTGTTTGTGTGTGTGTGTGTATGTGTGTGTGTGCGCGTGTGTGTGTATGTGTGTGTGTGTGTGCTTGTGCGTGCGCGGGCGCGTGTGCGTGTGTATATTATGTGTGCACGAATGTGTAAGGTGAAACACCAAACCAAACTGCTTGTGTCTAGACAAAAAGAGTAATCTTCTCTCATATTATGTTATCTTAAACGCTCATTTTATCGCATACGCTTAACCCCCGCACAGGCAGTGTGAATTCCCACACATTATACAACACCGATATCTTTGTGCAACCCTACACATGTATAATTTCTCACACCCACCACATATCTACATGGATATATTCACGCACACCACACACTCTCACACATTCATGCCCCCCCCCCCACCCACAGACTTTCTCTCTCCTCTCTCTCTCTCTCTCTCTCTCTCTCTCTCTCTCTCTCTCTCTCCACTGTGTATCACTCTCTTTCTCTTCCTCTGTCTTTTTTTCTCCCCCACCTACTTTCCCACTTTATCTTCCTCTCGTTCCCTCCTGTCAACTGGGGCATGTGATATTTTTGCTAGCACTTCCCCCTGTTCTCTACCCCCTCCTCTCTCTGTCTCTCCCTCTCTCTCTCTCTCACACACACACACACATGCACACACACTCTACCGGGTCTGGGCGCTGAAACTTTCCGAAATCACAAAGGGTTTCCCCTACGGGTCTGTATACTTCGTGACTTTGTTCCTAGCCACCGGGTCTGTATAAACCTTGATTTTTGCAATTTAGTGCAAGAACAGGGTCCACTTTCGTAGATAAAGAAGCAACCTAACTTGATATAGGCCTACTGTTCATCCTTGAGCTCTTCTTGCAATTTGAAGATCACAAACTACAATCTAGTAAAATGTACACAACACAAACTACACTCTTCAATTTTATGGACTATATTCACGATGAATAGTCTACTCTACACACTTTTCAGTCTTGTATTTTTGAACTCATAAGACCTTATTTAAGCAGTTGCGAGTGCCGTAAAACCTCTAGTAAAACTAAAAAAACAGCCTTATAAATAATCTTGCTCTCATCTTAGTCTTGGAACAAGCAAGAAGAAAGAGCATGGGTCTGCACCTCGAAGCCAGGGACTGAACAATGAAATAGAGAAGAGAGTCAAGTCAAGATCTGGATGTTAATGATTTCAGTTTAGCAAGGAAAAATAAAAGAACAGTGACATCCGTGAAAGGGATTGAAAACGAAGCCAGGGAAAGACTGCACTGAATGAAACGGGTGCCTGTGAAGAGGTGATGACTGATGTGAATTAAAAATTTTAGGAAGTGCCTATTTGCAACGCCGGGTTGCGATTAGCGCCAGTGCTAAATAAAATGCCGCGTTGTGATTAGCGCCAGTGCTAAATAAAACGCTGAGTCGCCGTGTGTAAAATATCAAGCTTAATCTGCACTTCGTTATCGGTAGTTCTGCTCTTGAAGTCAAGCCATTATTTTTTTTAGCGTGGGTTCGATACCAGCCCTGGACGCTTTTTTTTTTTCTTTTCTTTTTTTTTTTTTTTTGTTGACTGACCAACAAATTGTTCTCATAATATCTTGTTGCTTTGTAGTTTTTTTTTAGTAGTGATGAAGCATGCACATTCTGGTTTTGTCCCCAAGAGGAGCTCTGTACAAAGTAGGCCTTAGTATAGCCTATACTTTTCCTTTTACCAATTTAGGCCTGGTTAAAGTTCAGTGGTGGCTTTCCTTGGTCTGTGAGTCTAATTTTAAAAAAAAATTTTTTTTTAAATTTTAGGCTCAGGAGAAGGGAAAAAAAAACCCTTCCGGGACCAGGATTCGATGCCACGCTTGGAAGCACTGAACATTAGACTTAGAGAACGTAGACAGTAGACAGCTTACGTTCTCTAGGCCTAACTTAAAGTTCGAGTTGCATCGTCTTTTTATTGTTATCCAAGCGTCTTTCGACTTAAACTTGCAAACTCTAACTCAAATGATTATGAGAGATGAACAAGACGTCTACTTTTGTGCAAACAATGTCAGAAACAATTGTTAGATCTAATCTAGATCTACCCATGTTGATCAGAATAAGACAACGGCATAAAAAAAGGAGTCAAATCCAAGGAGGCTTATCAAAAAACTGAGAAAGCTTCCACAATTCAGGCAGAACTACAATATTATCATGTAGAAACGATGGCTACTAGATCTACATCTAGATCTAGATCTAGATTCTAGTACTGGCGTTTCAAATAGCACGGGAGCTATTCAGAATGCGACGTTGCAAATAGCACAGAAGCTATTCAGAATGCGGTATTGCAAATAGCGCTTGCCAAAATTTAAAAAAATAAAATTACAAAAATTACCTGGCTGCTAGATTCTAGATCTAGATCTAGATCTAGAAATTCTATATCTAGATCTGTATGTAGATTCTAGCTGGTAGGCCCAGATTAGATCTGATTCTAATCAATCACAAGTCACAATCACACTCACAGTGACTCACAGTATTCACAGTCTTTCTAAGTCTAATGATCTAATCTCAAGAAGAGGCCCACTGTGACTGTGAGTGTCCCTAACCAATTACCTGCACGATAAAAGCAAAAAATCACAAAGGACGACGCGTTTTAGCTTGATTACCCAAATTTAGTTAAAATTCTGTTCCTCACACGAAAACTGCAAAGACAGGCTGGCCATAGCAAACACTGAGAATGCTGTTGTTTACATTGCTTCAACACTGCGAACAGGACTGGCTTTGTTTACTATCGGTCGTGCTGAAGTTCGCGGAAGTGGGGAGTGGGAGACTGGCAGGACTCGTCGTACTATTTTTGCTTGGAGCGATTCGTTTCGCCTTTTCTCAATTGAGGAGAGCTCGTGTGTGACTTTTTCCAATAAAAGGAAGTGACTAAGACTTCTCAAATTAATCAGCAGTCATCAGATCGATATGAATGACACTGGTTTCCAGAAAAACAACATGAAGAGTGACGATGTATTGCACTTTAAGTCATTACCCGAAGACGTGTTCTGAAATTGAGTTTACAGAATAGAAATTATAATCAGAAGGTAACGCCCACGGCATAAAGAGCAGAGGAGACAACTCAATTATTATTATATCGTTGGTCCACTGCCATTTAATTTAACGTATTTATTGCTTCCCCTTAGAGTAAAGTAAGAGGCCTAATGTGTGATTGCTTGAGAATAAAATCTGTGGGATTTTCAAAAAATATTCGCACGATTTGATTTTTAGAGGCTCATAGGAGAAGCACTTTCTCAAGACAAAGTTGACAGTTTAACTGACCATTTGAAATTATTTGTAATGCAATACACAAATGTATACAAAGGTGGATCTTTCCTTCATTTAATTTTACTTCAATACAATTAAGGCTAGCTGTGAATAATCCAGAGTCGAGCTATTGGTCTTCGCACTTGAAAGACAATAAAACCTAAAATACAGGATGGCGTTGTATACTTGGGGATTAGGAAGCAATGGTCAACTTGGTACAGGAAATCTGGAAACGAAACACACACCTCAAAATATCAAACCACCTGGAAAGGTCAAGCAAGTTGACTGTGGAGCACTGTTTACAGGTGGGAGATGTTGCCGACTAGTTTGTATGTGTTGTTAGTTCGAATATGTGGGTCATGTGTATTTGAGAGCACTGATGAATTTGTTTTAAAATTTTTGTCTCGTAATTTGTTACAAGAAAATTGTTTCACTTCATTTGTTTGTATGGGATTGTTTTAAATCGTAAGAGTTCCAATTATTGCATTGTTTGAAATTGGGATATACAAGTAACATATTTCACTTTTTTTTTAACTTGGAAATCCATTGTAGGGTAACAATAAATTCTAAAATTGTAAAGATAGGCTGATGAAACTGAGAACAGGGAATACGGGAAAGAAAATCAGATGGAAAGAGAAAGAGATCACTCACTTTCTGTCTTGATAGAGACATAATTTTTATCACAAGATTAATCTGTCTCAGAGCAAAGTCTCCTAAAAGAATTAACCTTTTTATCAAAGAAACTGTGCAAATCTTAAATGATCCCTGAATCACTGAAAAGGCAAAACTAAGTAGAGAATTTCAGTATTATATTGTATTCTATTATTAGCCTAGAACAGGGGGCTATCAAAATATACCCACAAGACTGACACGTGTATTTCATGCAACTTTTCATGCCACTTTCTGTTTCCCGCAGTTGTTTTGACGGAGGATGGGGCAGTCTACAGTACAGGCTGTGGGAAGTTCGGGCGCCTTGGACACGGAAGCTCTGAGAAGGACAGCAATATACTTGGACCTGTGGTTCTTTCTGTCAAATGTTCTCAGGTCACAATGATGTGCAATGCCTTGTGATCTTCCTTGTATATTTTATTGTAGGCTTACATATATGTTCCTGTTCATCTTGAACTGCTCTCTTGAGAATGCAACAACAAAAATCCCTTGATTTAATCTACTCTGTGTATTGTTACTTTAAATCTTTTATTGTTCATTTTTGTTTCATACTTGTTTATACTTTAAATCATTTCCAGTGATAGTTCTATAACTTAAATTAAGCATTAATTGATAGGTGGCTTTTAATATCTAGTTCTCTTTTTAACTTAGACAATTTAATTAATATTGTGAGGTCATTATAACTAGACGTCATTTTTGTATATATATAATTTATTCCCTTTATTTTCACAGAGTTAATCTTCAGTTTCAACACTTATCATTGGCTATAAATTTTGCAAGAGGACACCTTATAGGCTACAAACTTTACCTGGCATGAGTATTGTGTGGTCATGTTCAAATCAATTCACAACTTTTCACAACTTCTAATTATGGTCCATGGAGACCTTGAGTTTAAAATATTTTCAGCTAGGAATCGGGTAATTTAAGATGTTTGCTTTAAAAAAATTATCTGGGCAATATTATATGTTACTATATACATGTATAACATTACTGAGATTAGTCATTGAAACTACATTTAAACTTGCTCGAATGACCACCTGTCCAAAACAATCACATGTAGGATCATTTCCCATTCCCGGGGCTCTAGAGGTTAAGGTGTTGGCCTCTCATTCAAAGGTCCCGGGTTTGAATCCGGGTTGCGACCGAAAACATTTCTTCACCGAAATTAAAGATCCCTTGGTGGTCTAAAATCGAAAAGAGTAGGCTTCGGCAGCCACCCCGGGCAAAATTAAAAATTTCCTACCAACTGAAAAAGTTTAATGTGTCCCGTGCGCTCATATGACCTTTTTGTAGTTGCGAGCGCCGTAAAACACTTTCCAAAAAAAAAAAAAAAAAAAAAACAGCAAAAAAAAACAACAACAAAAACTCCCACTCCCCCTTAATTGCTGTACCGGTATTTCTCTTTCACAATAACACTTTCCAAGAAGACCACTCTTTCTTCTCAACTTGGAAAAGTTCGACAGTACTTTTCCTTTCTCTTTCTTTTTACAGGTATCCTGTGGTTCATGGCATGTTGGTGTCGTAACCACAGAAGGTGCATTGTTCCTCTGGGGTTATCAAAAGGCTTTCGTTAAAGTACTGAAGCCAGAAAATATGGGTCTTCCAAATTTGTTTGCCCTCCCTCATAAGGCAAAAGTAGCAGGTTTGTTTGTTTAACTTCTAAATGTAGAATCAGTTATTCACTCATTCAACGATTCTGTCTTTCATTCACTCCGCCATTCCCCCATCCCTATTATCTCCTATTCTATCTTTTAAGTGCATAATACGTACGTGTTTGCTTGTTTCAAGTAATTAGTAGATTTATAGAGCTTTTGGTTCGGGGGGGAGTAGGGGGGAGAAGGAGGTGTTTTGTTTGTAGTTTTTGATTGTTTTGTTGTTCACTTATTTTGGAGTGTGGGGAAGATTCAGAGGAGTTTCTGTGACTTCCTGATAACTGCCATGGCCTACATGCTCAAGGAAGATGGGTTTTTTTTTCTCTTTAAGAAAAAGTGAATGGAAGATCAATGTAACTTAACAATTTTCATTGTCCTGCTACCTGCACTACTTGAGTAAGCCCACAGACCACAACCTTCTTTACTTCATTTACCCCTTGCGTCTGATCAGAACCGTACTTTTTGAGAAAAAACCCCAACTAAATTACTTTATAGTTAAATTGTAGGCCTTTAGGTATTCATTTGATAAATTACGAAGGATGAACTGAGTTTAATTACCTGTTGTTCGGGGACGCGCCGTTAGTTATTTAGCGTTATGCTGCACAGCTGTGATCTATATTATAATGGAATATTCTTGAACTTTTGCTGGTGGAGAAATTCACATAACTATCTACCGACCTAACTCGTCGGTTGTGTTCGAGATAATGGTTGAGTTAGATGTCCTACCTCTTCTAAAGGACTGAAAAGGCAGTAAAACCCATACAATAATATTAAACCAAATATCATTCTTGTGCTCTTGAGCACGAGGCAGGGGTAGACCACGGGAAACATGGAAGAGATGTGTGGAAAGGGACATGAGAGAGATGAAGCTCACTTGGAACGAGCTAGGAAGGATGGCCCAGGGTAGAGAGAAATGGAAGGAGCTTGTATGTGGCCTATACCCTGCTAGGGGTGAAAGGCATTAATGATGACATATCATTCTTAATTTTGACAGCATTATTTTGATTATTGTGAAAAAAAAGTTACGCACAAATTAAGGGTTATAAAAATGTTCTTTAGTTCTTAAACCATACTTCTCAGGTGTATCTTGTGGCCACAATTACACATACGCTTGGACAGTTGAAGGCCAGCTGTATTCTTGGGGAAGGGGTCAAAACGGAGTTCTTGGACTTGGATCTGATGATGATCAAAGGTTGCCTCAGCATGTAGAGACCTTGAAAGAGGAGAAAGTTGCAACAGTCGGAGCTGGCAATAGTCATTGTGGCATCGTAACAGAGTCAGGACTTCTCTACATGACAGGTAAATCTTGCTTCAGACAATTGGCTACTCCAGATTCGAATGACAAAGTTCTATCTGATGTTTTTAGCCGTTTTGAGTTACTAAGACCATGAGGTCAGAATCCAAATGCTCTATCTGCTCGATCAAAATCATAAGACTACAAGGAATAGTTATCAAAAATATTCAAAGAACTGTATTTGAAAAAGCTTGACTTGTTGTGAAACTCAACATTTTTAGCATCAAATTTCTCAGAACTAGGAACTGAGCTGATGGAACTTTGTAATTCTTTTGTCAGCTGTCTGAGTTTTGCATGAAGTGGGCAAATGAGTAGTTTTGTGTGTATGGAAGCTCTCAAAAAGAGTTAGTTACAGAAATTTATTTTCATATAACAACCATCACTCTTAGATATGTTTAATTTTTTTAATTTTTTTTTTGGGGGGGGGGGGGAATGGGGGGCTTTTTTGGGGGGGGGGGGGGAGGGGCTTTTACTAGATACATAGGATTCTGGCTCCTTCGATAATTATTTAAGATTTTTGCAGACGACCTTGCACTACTCTCCCATACCAACCAGCACATGCCGGAAAAAACAACCAACTTCATAAATACGGACGCAGATTGAATTAAGAATAAGCCAGGAGAAGACAGAAGTGATGACACTGAATGTAGGCTCCCCAACACTGATTAGGAGGAAAACCGCAGACCTGCCTATAACAGACAAGTTTACCTGCCTAGGTAGCATAATTAAAACTGACGGCGGCACAAAGGAGGACATCATGAACAGACTCAGCAAGGCAAGATCTGTACACAGAAGCATGATCAACATCTGTAAGTCAGGACAGTTCAGTATACAGACCAAGTTAAAGCTGTATGACAGCTGTGTACTATCCACACTCCTATATGGAGCTGAATGCTGGAGGATGTCTGACCATGCTCGTGCCAAGCTATCTTCTTTTCATACAACCAGATCACACCAAATCCTCCGAATCTTCTAGCCCGACAAGATTTCCAATGCAGATTTTATACGGAAATGTAAGCAAGAGGACATGATCGCCATAATAACAAGGAGAAGATGGAGATGGATTGGGCATGTTCTAAGAAGAGAACCAGACTCTATTGTAAAGACTGCCCTCCACTGGACACCCGAAGGACATCGCAAGAGGGGCAGACCCAAAATGACCTGGAGACGCACAGTGGAGTCTGAAATGAAGTCCTGGAACCATTCGTGGGGGACGTTGACCAAGATGACCCAAAACAGACAGAGCTGGAGATCCTTTGTTGCTGCCCTAAACGCCAGATGGCGTGACGGGTTGTAAGTAAGTAGGTACTGCAAAGAAGCGTTTGTCCAAGTGTACTTCAAAATGAATGATATTCATTTTCTTTTTTTGTTTCCTTGCTACATCTTAAAGCTGCTCTACTTTAAGTTTTTTTTTAGCTCACAACATGCAACACTTTATGTGAAAAAGACAGTTGTTTATTTATACCAAAGCTTATGACAGGTACCCTAGCTTTCTGACATCTGAAGCTATTTTTTCCCTATGATGTAAATGTTTATACAATTTTACCCAAATAGATTCTTAGTTCTTCAATTATCACAAATACCAGGAAAGGGATCAGATGGAGCTCTTGGATTTGGACATTCACATCTGGGCAATGCGTTACTCCCAAAACGCTGTGAAACGGGGACAGAGGTCAAGGCTGTGAGCTGTAGCAAGGGAGAGCATCACGGACACACCCTGGCGCTGACTGTCTCTGGCTCGGTACTGGCCTGGGGAGATGGCTACAAAGGAAAATTGGGACTTGGTGGACAGGTGAGGATACAAAACACCACTAGGCAGAAACACAGACTTGCCATAAGGGAAAGGTAATATTATTTTGGCATGAGTTTAATCTTTCAATCAACACAAATAATATGTCACGATGCAGGGAAATCATGAGGTGCTCGTCAATTTTTGGGCACCTGGAGTTATTGGTTTAATCTATAAAGCTTTTTCATTTGCCTTGCTTTTGATGAAAACTATATTCATTTTACTTGAATAGAGGGTGAAATATTTGTGAGTGAAGGAGGTATAGAGGTCGCTTGATGTCAGGGGTAAAACAAATGAGAAAATTGCTGCTAAAGTTTGGTGACTTTCAAAGCTGCAAAGTCCTTGTAAACTGCAAATTTACTTTTGTGTGTCTTTGTTCAACGTTTTTCAGTAAAATATATAGAGGAATGTTCTTTTTCAATGGACATGAACAGTGTTGAACTCGAAACAAAAAAACGGATAGAAATTGTCCAACGGGCTTGAAAATATTGACTTCTTCAATATCATGATTTTGATGAATGCCTTTTTTTTCCACGATGTCACACATATTATTATGATGTCTATTTGAAGGAGGACAGGGCCCCATGCTGTTGGGTTTAGGAAGTACAGTGCTTTGCCAAAGCTGACCTTTGATAGGCAATGTGGTATGAAAGACTACTGAATAGTAAATAAAGTATGTGCAGACAAATGTTACCACTGCTACAACTGAGAGGTTGCTACATATATATACATATAACACACACACACACACACACACACACACACACACACACACACACACACACACACACACACACACACACACACACACATATATATATATATATATATATATATATATATATTTATTATATATATATATATATTATAAGAGCCACCCAACCTGCAGAGGAGTTGCTTCTACTGTTGGTTAGGACAGCAGACTTGGTATCCCTTGGCCCATTGGGACACAGCAGGAGAGCAAAGAGAAAACTGAAGTGTTGAGACAAAGAGACTAGGGCGGTTCTGGTGTTTGGGTGGTACCCCACTAGCAGGGAAACTGTGCCTTCTGTAAGGCTTAATATGATGCTAATAATAGAAAACAAAGAAGTAAATAAGAAAACAATAACTTGATCAATAAACCAACAGCATTTTGTCATTTTTGGATAAGATTCTACAAATTTCAATGAAGCTCTCTCCAGGAAACACAGTGTGTATGTACATATGTAAATACTTTGGCAACCTGTCGACTGTTGCAGGTAGACATAATAGAGTACTTCTGACCCACACACAGAGTCACAAATCATGGCTCCCCAATGTCAGATATTAGGAGTTAAAATGCTTGTGACAATTGGATGGAGCCCTGTGGGGAACAGTAAAGTAAAGGGTATATTGACAGTGCAAGCAGGAAAAAAGTTAAAACTGAACCTGAGCACACACAGTAGCGTGAGCCACCTTTACCCTTTTGTGCTCCAAACACACACCCCACCAAGCAGTGGTGTAAATTTAGCAGCCGAGCCAAAAGATCTCAGGTACATGGATCCTAGCTGTAGACTCAGGGAAACATAGCTTAAAGGAATTAGAATTTAATCCATTCTGCAAACATGAGCACAACCGCTGGCTGTAAAAATTGTTTGTGGGAAATTGTAGTTAGAATTGTTTCTATAAAGCTCTGCTGTATGCAGACATATTGAATCTTGAGTTTTAGACACATTTTTTGGCTAAAGTAGATTGATTTGAACACCTTTATGTGAACGGAAAATGATTTTATGGCTGGTTCACATCCACCAAGAGATGTATGACTCCTTGGTAGGTGGACAGTAATTTTTTGTTTGATCAGTTCTCAGGCATAATGTTAACCACTTCAGAAGTCCTTTGTGCTTTGATTGTTTTAGTGATTGTTGATCCTCTTATTGGCATTGCCAAGAGACTCTCATTAAGATCATTAATGTCATATCTGATGGACAATGTTGTAAAGAAACGTAACTGGCCATTGGTTCAATCGAACCTTATCCATTTCTACATCAGTTTCATCTGTTTGGCTCCTGGAGACATTGAAATAAACCTTTTGCTTTCAATTTTCTCCTCCTTTGTAAGGAAACAGCTGAAGTCTGTGGGTTCTCACAAAACAAAATTTAGAAAAAAATATTTTCCTCTTCATATTTGACAGAAATTGAGAGCTGGATACAGAAGAATGTTATTTTTTTAGGTTTATGTTTATTTAGATATCAAGGAGTAAACATAATATGATCATTGTAGTTTACTTCAACTTTTGCTTGTGGGTTCTTCAGAAATACTTTTATACACATCTTAATTCTGGGGTTCAAATTGAGTATCGAAGAATGATGCAACTAAACCAGCTCACTGTCTGGCTGTCAACGAAAATCAAAGTGCACAATGCTGTTGTGCTCTCCCCCCTCCTCTACTGTTCGGAGATCTGGACACTCTACAGGAAGCACAACAACAAATTAGAACAGTTCCACCAAAGGGCTCTCCGCAGCATAATTGGTATCCGGTGGCAAGACCGCATCGCCAACATTGAGTTCCTCAACCGATCAAGCGCACAAAGCATAGAAAGTATGCTTGTCAACGCCCAACTGAGATGGGTCGGCCATGTCATTTGCATCGAAGACCACCAAATGCCCAAACAACTGCTGCACGGCGAACTCACAAGTGGCAAAAGAAATCGGAGGCCATAAAAGTGTTTCAAAGACACGATAAAGGCAAACCTTCAATTTGCGCAGGTTACCCCCAAAGAACTCGAAAGAACCGCCACCGAAAGGAACGCCTGGCGCGGGGCTGTCCATCTTGCCAGCGGAAACAGCAATATCAACTACAGGGAGAAGTTGACTATCAGAAAAGAGAAGAGACATAACCCAATCACCCCAACTGCGACATTCCAGTGTCCCCACTGCAACAGACATTGTACATCCAAGATCGGATTGCACAGCCACATGCACGTCCACAGATAAGCTGCAGGGTTTCATCATCATCTTTGGCAACCAAGGACTATCTACAATTCTGAGGTTCAAATTGAGGATCTAAGAATGATGTAAAAATGAGTTGAAGTGCTCTCGTTTTTAGGGGACTGATTATGCTTTTGGTTCAATAGCAAGCAAGTTGAAAATGTAAGAAACAGAAATTATCTTCAATGGTATGTGTCGTGTAATTAGGTTCTTAACCTCCGCGCCCTGAAGACACAAGTTACATTTTGGTATAAGGAAGTTTTTTTGTTTTTTTTAAATGAGTACCATATATCTCTATCTGCCTGCATAAATAAGGTATCCCACTAAGCCTAAGTTGTCCCTGACAGGCAAAGTTTGTGAGGCCCACTTCTTAAATTTTCTAAAGTGTATTATCTCCAACTGAAGAAAATAGGGGAGCATTAGAAAATATCTATCTGTTGGTGTCCCCAAAAGTTTAATAACATCACTTATATTGTCATGGATTGATTATTGCAATTCCTTACTGGCTGGTGTACCTGATGAACCAGTTACAACAACTACAAAGAGTACAAAATATTGCTGCCAAAATAATTACTAAGAAACTAAAGCATGATCATGTGACTCCTATTTTTTTTTTAAACAAAACTACACTGGCTCCCGGTGAAAGAGCGTATCATATATTATATAAAATCTGTTTAACTTGCTACAAGTGCTTACATGATTTATCACCTGACTATCTAAAACAGTTTAAACTCCCAATGTACCTGCTAGAACGCTCAGATCATCAAGTAACAAAACAACCCTTATTAAACTTAAAATAAATTACAAATCATAAGCCAACGCTCTTTTTCATATTTTGCGCCATTTGTTTGGAAAAGGCTTCCAAAAACTACCAGAGAAGCAGAAAATCTAGAAATTTTTAAGAAGAAACTAAAAGCATTCTATTTTCATCATATTTCGATTAGACAGAATCCATCCAAGCTGTAGATCGTTGTGAGTATGTGCCTATGTGCGTATGTGAGTATGTGTGTATGTATGTGTGTGTGGTGCGTGCGTGCGTAAATATGTGTGTGCACGCGTATGTAACACTATGTGCCTTTAAAATTGATTTGTAAATCCATAATATGTATCATGTTAAGCGCATAGAGCATTGTTTAAGTTGATATGCACTATGTAAATGCATTCCATTATTATTCATTATTATTATTAATCGATTCGTAACACATTTACAATCAATCTATCAAATTGTGTTCTTCCTCTTTTTATTTTATCCTCCTGTCAGACCTTAAAAGGGGGCTCTTGTGACCTAGAGGTTAAGGTGTTGGCCTCTCATTCAAAAGGTCCCGGGTTCGAATCCGGGTAGCGACCGAAAAATTTTCTTCTCTAAAATTGTCTCCTTTCACCTCCTTTCCTGCTCTCTAGCAATGTTCTGTTGTCTGCTTTCATTTCCACTTTCTGCCCCCACCCACTCTCCTCCTTTGCCCCCTCCTCTGGGCTCCTGACTCTTTCTGCAGCCTTTCTACTGCTACTCCTTGGCTCCTCCTAACTGCTGTCTTTCTGCCACACCCCTGATCTTCTGGTAGGAAAGATCTACACCTAGCCTTCTCGGACAAGGGCGAAAAACCTCGGAGGGCCCGTGTGCAAGTTGTGCCTGTTAAAGATCCCTTAGTGGTATAAAATCGATAAGAATAGGTTTCGGCCGCCACCTGGGCAAAATTCAAAATTTCCTACCAACTGAAAATATTAGGTGTGTCCCGCGCGCTCATATGACCTTATGCAGTTGCGAGCGCCGTAAAACACTTTACAAAAACAAAAAACTAGACCTTAAAGAGGGATTTAACTTCTTTTTTTTTCTTTAACTCTCATCTCACAGTGTGTTGGAGATGTTAGATTCTACTCCTCCAGCATTTATAAATAGAGTGACATTAGTTTATACAGTTATTATAGCTTATATTCTTTTCGTTGCATTGCAGGAATCCCGTTATACCCCAGCTGTCATACCTCCTGAGCTTTTCAACAACCAACCAGTCACTTCAATCTCAGCAGGCGGCATCCACAGTGCAGCAGCCACGGCTAGTGGGGAAGTCTTTACATGGGGCTGTGGTAGTGACGGACGGCTGGGCCATCCAGAGGGGCAAGGACATAGATATCTGTTCCGTTCGGACATTCCGAAAAAAGTGGAAGGGTTACCGAAAGCAGGGGCTGGTAAAGTTACTGTCAGCTGTGCTTACTATCACTGTGCTGCTGTTGTGCATAATTCTGACTAGGATCCATTTGTGCAACAGCCGAGTTCCGAGTTTGTGCATGATGAACTTTCTCAGACAAGAATTTTGTGTTCACTTCCATCTAGTTTCATAATATTGCAGATAATTTCTATAACACCAACTACCATACAATTCAATTCTCGGTGCTTTACAATGCCTTTATTTTAATACAAAATACTTGTGTATGAATGTGCGTGCCCACTCTTCAGATTAATCCTTAGGTGCACATAAGCAGACTTCTTACTGTCACAGCTCAATCAATGACAGTATGCACATCACATTAAGAACATGAAAGAATTTTGAATAAAAAGGATTAACTATCAAGATGGCATTTCAAGAAGTGTCTTTTTAAATGAATTTAAAATGTTGCCTCCTACTTTGTATCCCTCGAATGTTGTGGGAGATAGTTCGAGACAGATGGAGCCAGATAAGGAAAGGATCTCCCAGCGAAATTTTGACCTCCCTTCCAAGGTGCTCTCATATGAGAGGGTGATCTCCTGGCCATAGACATTTTGGTACAGCATTTTGATACATTTGAATCAAGTTGCTTAAATCAAACTTAACGAGGCCTTATTGTTAACACATTTATGGCATAGGGTGACATGTGTCATCATCATGAAGTGTCGAATCTCAAAGGATTCATTTTTCTTCTCAGATCTCTGCAAAAGAATACCTATATTATTTGCCTGGTGTTTCCCTGCCACTCGCAATATCCATATATTATATGAATATTGATGTTTTATTGTGAATTTTATGATGCTGATGTATTCCATGTACTGGTATGCAATGAAAATGCATTCCTTTTAAACCCATATTTTCCCAAAAGGGTTTAAAAAGATAATATTTTTGGTTTGTAGAATATATTTCTTTAAATTCATATCTAGGATTCTTTAACAGAATACCTAAGTTAAGGGTTTACTTCACCCGAATACCTAAGTTAAGGGTTTACTTCACCCGAATACCTGTCATAAACAAATTACGATCAAACCTGCTCTGACAGCCACCTGTCCAAGACAATCACCTGTACAAACGGCCACTTCCCACATTTTCCCCCTTTACTTTTTTCTTTATTATAAGGACACTGTATTGTCCAATACGTCCACCTGCCTAAGGCCAACCACTTTTTTCCTCCAAAATGGGTGACCATCTCGAACAGTTACAACGATTATTACATTCCACGCACTATTTAAGATCTTAAGATCAGGTTGGGATCTAGAGATCAGGAGATACAAATTCTTTCCACCGCCAATCCAAAAAGTATAGAGTGTATTAAGATTAAGAAGGGTGGTCATTGGAGAGGGACCTTCAAAAAGATTCATTCTACCTTCAAGAGGTACTGCACTCTGTCAACCAGCAAGGCTTGAGTGATGATAAAATGAATGAAGGTGATATGGTGTCATTGTGATGAATGAATATGTGTATATAAACAAAATACATCAAGTTAAAAAAAAACAGCTTTGTTTTCTTTCTTCTTTCTTTACTGTAAGGTTCTCCCTGTGAGGGCTCTTGTATGGTTGCTTTAATCAGAAGCATAAGGATTATTTGTACACCCAGATACTACATTGATCATCTCTTCAAAGAAGCAAAAGTCTAGCATGTGTGTTTCTGTATAGGCTTTCTTGTGTATTATTATACAGGTATTTTTGTGCATACACTATGTTTGTGTGTGTGTGTGTGTGTGTGTGTGTGTGTGTGTGTATGTGTGTGTATGCGTAGTGCGTGTATGTATGCATGTGTGTGTGTGTGTGTGTGTGTCTCCGTGTGTGTGTGTGTGTGTAGTGTAGTGTGTGTGTATGT